AGTTATTAAAATTTTTATTATCTTCGGCAAAATAATTTCAAAAATACTATTAAAGTATGCATAATATTTACTTTCTATATCTTTTATATGCAATGAGTTTTTAGAAGGATGTAATTCTTCAATGTAATCACAAATAACTTGAGAGAAAATTTTTTTTCTCCATTCTTTATACATTTCAAAAAACTTATTGGGAATTGTTTTGTTATAAATGGAATCAACAAATTCTTTGTCAGAAATTTTGCTCGCTTCATCTTCGATTTCAGAAATGATTTCATCGACTGAATCTTTTTTTTCAGTGTACTTTTTTACTAGATTGAATAGGTCACTCTCGTCATCTTGAAATACATTTTCAATAATTATTTGTGTATTCTTTTTTTCTTGAAGATTTAGGAATTTGACAGCATGTTTCTGGGCAAAAATATATCGTTTTTTAAGGTCAATCCAACCAAGATGATCAATATTATCAATTACAGCTTGAATTCTTTCATGAATTTTGGATGCTAATATAAAATAATAAAAGAAAATAGAGACATTTAATATTTTTATATTTTATAAGTTGAAGAAAAGAAATTAAGAACTCACATTTTATCGAAATATCTTTTATTTCTTTTGTTTCTGCATTAAATTGAAAAAGAGAAGCTAAAAGCGATTTTTCTCCTTCAGAATATTTGGCCTCGAATTTACTTTTAATTATTGTAATTTTTTAATTAGATTAATTTGATTAATTTGATTAAAAATTTTACAAATAATATTATTTATTCATAAATACCTATAGTTTGCATACAGAAGCCTATTGGTTAATATTTCAATTTTAGTTAAACCATTACTGGATTTTTCAAACAAATCCAACAAATCCGAATAAATAGTTCTATTCAATCCTTTCAATCCATATTCTACAATGATTTCCAATTTCTTCATTGTAATACTTTGGTTGATTTTAAGAGCATATTGTTGACTTTCAAGTTTTGTCCGGAAATAATCAAGTAATTGTGTAGCACTAAATTTTTTATTAACAATTTCAGTAGTAGTCCTTTCAGGAATGAATTCTCGTGTGAGTAAAGTAGGATTGGAAACAGATTCAACAACCAATGGATGCAAAGGAATGTCTTTATAATGACCATTCGTGTGATAAGATTGTGGCCTAAGTTTTGAGTGATAAACCTAATATTTAAAGAATTTTAATTATTTAAATTACTGCATTTATTTCTCATAAATCATAAACAAACCTCAAATCCTGGAAAGATTTCAAAGTTTTCCTTTTGTTCTTCACTCTTTTTCACTTCAAAATCAACGCAAATGTTATTATCCTCATCAATCTCATCTTCAGACTCGTTAGATTCATAACGTTCCCAATCAATATTTTCCAAGTCATGGTCATCCATTAAACAAATTTGGTGTTCGGTAATTTTTGTAAGATATCTATTAAGGTATTTATATATGTTTAATATTTATATATTATATTAATCTTAATCGAGGGTGAAATTAGCAACACTCCTATAATTCTTACCTATGCAAATTAGTCATATTCTTTTTACAAAAAGATGAAGCTTTATCTTCATAACATCCATCTTCACTCCATTGAATAACCAAGAACTTATTCTTTTCATCAATTTCATCCAAAGGTAACCTTAAGAGATATATCCCCGGTCTTAATTCTGCTGTTGAGATGATTTCAGAGTTATCATCCAATGATTTATCATCATATGGCATCACGAGTAATTTATAGCTTTTAAGCAAAAAAAAATAAATATAATAATAATTAGATTAAGAAATTAAGAAATATCTTAATATCTTAGAGTATAAATTAAATACAAAAATGTAATTACGTTTTGTCATCTACAATTCCTTTATCCAATAAAAGTTTGGCAATGAGAGAATTTCTTCCATAGATACCAATTAAATGAATATGAAAAGAATTCAACTTTTTATAATTAATTTTTGAAATTGATTTGAAGCTTCCAGAAATCATGTCATTACAAAGTTTCTTCACATCCGATTCTGAGATTATAATCTTGTCCACTAAAAATTTTATCAAAATTGTATTACATAATATTATTATATTATGAAGAACATGGCATGGAGCGTGTAATTTACATACCAAGACCATTTGTACCATCATCTTTACATAAATCCAACAAACGATAAAATCCTGGAATTATTTTAAATAAATCTTGAATATCATCGTCAATATCTTCGCGATTATCCTCATTATCTTCATAATAGGTATTCTGTGCTTCACTGTCTGTTTCCATTTTATCATTTTGCAAGTTTTCCTCGGATGCTTTATTTCGAAATTTATAAAGAAAAACAATTTATAAAAATTGACATAATAACAGAATAATAGCAAATTTTAATTTTATACCTTCTTCATTGTTTTCGAAATCTTCGATAAATCGTGAATCAGGATCTATTGTAAAACGATTCGTAAAAAATTGACATAATAACAAAATAATAGCAAAATTTTAACTGTATACCTTCTGGATCATCGTTATTTCCGAAATTTTCGATGAAAAGTGAATCAGGATCTATTATAAAAGCAATTTGTAAAAAAAAAATTGACATAATAACAGATGATAACAAATTTTTAATTTTATACCTTTTAGATTTCTTTGAAATCCGTTATCATCGGTAAATTGGGAATCGGTAGAATCAGAAGCTATTGTAAAAAATATAAAATTATGTCATGTTTGCGAATGGTAAATAAAATCAGAATAACTTATTTTTAATAATTACATACGATCGTTATCAGAATTAAGGTTGCTCATTGTTAAGCAAAATAATTCAAAATAATTCAAAATAATTCAAAAGGAAAAAAGTTTTCGTCGTATTTATTGCTTTCAACTTTAGTGATCATTTAGGTTTTTTTTGGAAACAATTACAATGATCAATTTTGGAAATCATTGCAATGACAATTTTGGAAACAATGGTCAACTTGCTTGGAAATGTTGTTCAAGTTAAAAGATAAATAAGATAAATGTGATACATATTCTCGAATACAAGTCGAATACAAGTCGAATACTTTTTTTTATATTTGGCTTGATTAACCGGAATTTCATTCAAAATAAAGTCATTCGCTTAATTGTTATTCTTTCTTTTCTTTCTGTTGGATTGTTAAATCTTAACACTTTATTAACTTTATGAATAAGATTACATTCTTAAATCGAAATTTGAATTTTCGGTAAAATTAGTCAGCCTTTGCCCTTGAATGTGCGAACTTATCAAAAAAAGCATGTGTATGTATTTATAATTTCTCTTCTTAGACACTATAAATTATTTCTTAGAGTCCATTTCATTTTTAATATTAAAGCATCATCTATAAAATTGTTCGTTTGCATATCATGTGTAACATGTCATGTTTCCAAGATTAATTTATTATTCTATTTTTATTTTTCATCTTTACTTTCGTTTTCATTTTATTTTTACTTTTCATCCTTTAATTTTGTTTTTCATTTTATTTTATTTTATTTATTTTTTATAAAAATAGTTCTTTTCTGGTTTTTTTTTGTAAATAGATTTATTTGGTCTTTTTTTTTTCTCTATGATTTAATTCTTTCTTTTGATATATCCAGTGAAAAATTTCAATTTCTTCAGCACAATAAGATTTTATTGAGTTTAAAATTTAAAATTTGTCCATGAATATTCTGAATGGGTATAGCTGATTATTTAATGAACTATAAATAATAAACATTTAAAAGATGTTAAATGGACATTTATTTCATAGAAAAGAATTTAGATTAATTGATATAGAATCTTTTCAATAAAAACTTGACATTGAAGATTAATATAGATTAATATAAAGTTCTGATTGAAACATCGGAAGCACCATAAACATTTTAAACATTTTCAAATTGAATATTTTTAAGAGAATTAAGAATATTGTCATGCACTTGAATAATGTAATCTTTTGTATTCCATGAATGGGTGCTTCTCTTTTGCCGAGCATATTAGAAATTATTAAATGGAGGTCTTCTACTTAATATTTCTCAGAAAAAATGTCCATATCTGAAGCTTTAATGTAGTCATATTTCTTAAATATTCAGGATCAGAATGTACTTTCCAAACTACAAGGGAATTTTGAATTGGAATCTAACGGTCCTAAATTTGCAATCATGAACCATAATATTCTTTGAATGCTAAAATTTAGATATACAATTCAATATTATCATATCAGATATAGGATTATATACTCTGTGAACAATATTTGCTTCATTAATACAGTATAGATCTCTTTAAATAACTTTGGCCACATTAATTTTAATTTTCTAAAAATTCTTTTTGATGCAAAGGAGTGTTCTCATAATTACTAGTCATGTGTGATAAGATTGTGATATAAACTTTTGAGAAATATTTAAATAATTTCGGATTATTAAAATTATTTCTTACAAATTTTTAGTATCTCATATCATGAAAGATTTCAAAGTTTTTCATTTCTAAGCAAAAAAAATTCCCGAAAGATAATAATTTGAAACAATTGTCCAGGTTAAACTAAGTTCCGAAGAATCAATTCTAATGAAAATTTCTTTTTGCAAAGAGTTATTATGATTATAAACAATTATTTGATACGTAATTAACGTAGTGTTATAGAAGAGTAAATGTCCTTTATTTTCATTGTACATAATCAAAATCTCCGAATGAATTCTTTAAACTGGATTATATTCAGTTGTATTTTTATACTGTAAATTGTGAAATGTGAATTTTATATTTTATAAGGAGTCATGTGTTGACTTACTAAAAACATGATTTTTAAAATATACAAATATTAAAACAATTCTGTGCTTTTAGTATATACAGTTTATATATAACTTATGACTCAAACACCACACCATTTTAACTCTTGTCTTTCCGTTAAATATTTTTATCGTTGAAAATTTGTGAAATAGAATAAAAATCCTATCTCAATGAAATAATTAAATAGAAAATAATGTGCCTAATAATATTTAAAAGAAATTATTCTCTATATAAATAAGATGAAAAATTTCCTAAGGAAAAACTTTAGGAAAATGCTATTTATATTAAAAGCTTTAAGTTTTCGAGTGTATTCGAGAATATGTATCGAAAATCTCATTTTTTATCTTGGAATTCGACCTAAAAATCCAATGCAATTATCACCATTGAGAGATTTGTTTTGTGCGACAAATAATTTTGTAGGTGTAATCGGAAATTATAAAATTCGAATCCGAATTTTTCTTCGAGTTTTTTCTATCTTAAATTGTTGTACAATAAATATTGTCTACGCATGTAAAAAAAAAAAATTTCTGCGTAATTCAACATATAATGCACAAATTTTATAATAATGATTATGTTAAATCTCGATTGGGAAACTATTACATTTTGTTAGTAATGATAAATGAAATGCATCGTATTACATAATGTAAATTTTTTGGTGGTACACAAAATTAGATATAAGCAATAGCTTCTCAAAAAAAATTTTTATTTGAATCAAATTTTAAAAATTATCTTTGCGATTTCAAAAAAAATTTTTTTTATAAATATAATTTATAGCTCTTTACACATTACATTATAAATAAATCATTAGAAAATGAACGAATTTTGGAAACAACCAATGCCTATACCAATGTCACGTTCAAGTACTGAATCATCAGCATATAGTGAAGATTCATCGTCTACTAGTCTACGAAGTCCTAGTCCACAACGCAGTCTACGTTGCCCTAGTCCTAATCCTCGTAGTCCTAATCTACGTAGCCCTAGTCCACAGCCTAATTTTAATATCCGTAGTCTAAGTCCTCAACCACATTACACACCGAAAATCGAGGATCCGATGAGAGAAATTGTTGACTGTTCATTGATAATATTTCTACAAGAACAACATAAATGTACTGCAGACAAAAGAATTGTGGAAATTCTGGAAGATTATATTGCTGATAATAATACAACACCAGATAAGATGTATCAATGGCTTTTGGCCAACCAAAACACGCTTCAATATAAAAGTATTCTTGCATTCCTCTTAAAAATGGGATTAGGCTGTGAAATTGATTTAAAGAAATCCTTTAATTTATTATTAACAGCTGCACGAAAAGATTACATGATTGCAGAAGAGATGGTAGGAGATTTTTATTATACAGGAATGGGAACAAACGAAGATGAAGTTATGGCATTTAATTGGTATCATAAAACTGCAGATAAAGGTAGTGCTTATGGGTATCATGGACTTGGTTATTGTTATGAATATGGAAAAGGTACCAAGAAATGTACGAAAAAAGCATTAGATTGTTATGAAACTTCAGCAAAAATGGGTAATATATGGGGAATGATAGATTTAGCCAAGATGTATCAAAAAGGAATAGGAACAACTAAAAATTCGGATAAAGCAATTTATTGGTATCAAAAAGCATATGCAAATGGATGTGAAAAAGCAAAGAATGAGTTGGATAAATTAACGAATAAGTAAGTAAAAAGTAAAATTTTAATATTTGTATACTGTACTATTTCATTAAATTAAATGACAATTAAAAATTATTTTTAGTGTAACGATCCAGAAATCAAGTGATATACACGGAATATAATTCTCCTCCTCTAAAGATTAAAGTTTCAGATTAACTAAAAATTATTAAAAATTATTAAAAATTATTAGCACAATAAGTGGTTATAATATTTAAAGGACAACATTTCAAAAAATATTTAAAAAATTTGTAATTAAAACATAATGATTAAATTTTTTCATTTATAAAACCGTGTAACGTAATTATTTAGTTATTTTAAATGAGTCATGCATATGTTATTGTTCAACTTAAGCAATAATGTAACCGAAATTGATTCATAGATTCCGGGATATCTGTGCCAAGGTTGCGGAAAATTTTTCCTAAAAAAGTTAACATCAATGAATATAATCAAAATTTAATTGCCATTTAACAAAGTTATTTTGCAATCATTTTCAAACATTTGAAAATATCTTAACAAAACGTCATGTGGAATAAACATTTAAAAGAGGTTTGGGATAAAATATATTATTCTATTGATGCTACGAAAGTTCATAAAACATTAAGCGAACGTGAAGAATATTGTCAGAAAATTATACAAAATACTTCTTCACTTACTGAACTTGAAAAGAAATTCTTAAGAGATGAAATTCGAAAGGCATATGATAAAGTACGAATCACTGCGAAAGATTCAGAACAACAACTATGCAAGGTATGTCATAAAGAGCACAAAGCAATTCAATATTGTGAAGCTTGTATTCGCAAATATTTGGTCGATCAATTTTGTACTTGGACATCTGGAAACGATAAAATAAACAAAATAATTAGAGAATGTCAACAAAAAGTAATTGCTCCTCATTGTATAATCGAATGGATCGAGTATGATCAATTTGAAAATATAGATTATAAGACAGAAGGTGGTTTTTCTACCATTTATACAGCTATTTGGAAAGAAGGTTTTTATTCCAATTGGGATTCTGAAAAGCAATTATTACAAAGGTTTGGAAGACATGAAGTGATTTTGAAAAATTTTACTAAATCCAATAAATATTGGTGGCAAGAGGTAAATTTTTAATCTAATTTTACTCTAATTATACAACTTGTGTAATTTATGAAATTTATGTATCATTTTTAGGTAGAATCAAATTTTACACTTGATAATACTTCTCAATATCTTGTCAAATGTTATGGAATTACAAAAAATTCAAATAACGAATATATGTTAGTCTTAGGACATTATGAAAAAAATTTAAGGCAATTTTTGAATGATACACCATCACTTACACCATTACAAAAATATAATATTATTTTAGATATAGCATATAGTTTATCAAAAATTCATGAAGGGAAAGTCATACATAGAGATTTACATTCTGCAAACATTCTATATTATTCTGAAGCTGATAAATGGTTCATAAGTGATTTAGGATTTAGTAGTCCTATTAATGATCAAAATAATGAATTTAAAATTTATGGCAACTTACCACATATAGCACCAGAAGTTTTTGGTAATATCACTAAGCACACACATACAGAAAAATCAGATATATATAGTTTGGGAATTATTATGTGGGAAGTATTAACTGGAAAAATACCTTTTGATGGTAGGAAACATGATATAGATTTAGCTTTAGATATATTCACCAATAAGTCTAGACCAGATATCAATAATATAGATGAAAATGATATATATGTGAAATTAATGATAAAGTGTTGGGATCATCTTCCAGATAATAGACCTGATATAACCGAAATTTATCAAATAATGGAATCATTTATAAGGCCTTTTATTTGTGAATCAAAAGGAGACACTCATACATCTTCAAAATTAAATATGAAAAACATTAAGAAAAAAATTAAAGATTTTTTAATGAAGAATAGTAAGGAGAATAATAAGTTAGAAAGTAAACCAAAAAGTAGTAAAAGAATTATTCCACAAATTATAGAAAGTAAAGATGAAAACCCTCTAACAAGCAATATATTCACTAAAAGTGTTGAAGGTACATAAATTTTTGAATAATTATTGAATAATTTAATGAAAAATATTTAACTTTGGTTGTTTATTTTTAGTTTGTGATTCTAGACAATACAGCGAATGTATAATTTCTGACGGTAAATATATGGAATTTAATTGAAAAAAAAAAGATTTGACTATTATAATTATCTTTTTTTTTTTGTAAATAATAATAGGAATAGAATTAGATTTCAATAAAAATAATGAAAAAGACAATGAAGCAGTTATTGAAGATGATATTGAAAAAACTGATGATAATTTTGATTCCAAGGATAACAGTTAATAATATTCATTTACATTTATTGTATTTTATTGTACACTATATTTATTTATTTATTTATTTTATATTTTTTTTATTTAGACAATACTAAACCCTTCCTTAATCTTACAAATAGTAATAACTTATTCAACAGAAAAAAAAATTTTGAACCCTTATATCCTAAATCTTAAATATTATGGTAACTTATTCATAAGTAAAATTTCCCCTGGTTAATAATTTTTCTTTATTAATATAGGAAAAATCGTATTAAATATAAAATGATAATTTATTCATAAGTAAAATTTCCCCTGGTTAATAATTTTTCTTTATTAATATAAGAAAATTTTATTAAATTATTATTTTTATTTTTTATTTTATTATTATTAGTCTATAAAGTAAAAACAAAAAAAAAAATTCAAAATTTAGAAAACAAAAAAAAAATCAAATATTTTATCATTTTTATTATATGTTATTTCATTTTTATTATTTTTATTTTTTAATAAATTTTTTATTATATTATTATATAAGAGAGAGTGAGTGTGTATATATACAAGAACGCTTTTAAACAAAATGACAATAATACACAAATAAATATTATAAATTTCTATATATAGTACCAATGTATTATGAGTATCATTTTTATTATAATGAAATTTAAAGAGATTATATTGTAACATAAAACACATCGTCATTATTACAATACATTTATCTGTTTCAGTTTTCAGTAAAATATAAAAATTACAAGAATTTTAACAAATTATTACTTTATTTCCAATAACTATGTCCTCAAAGACACAACAAAAACAACAAAAGCAAAAGCAAAAACAACAACTTCAAAAAGAAAAGCAACAGCAAAAAGAAAAATTAAAAGAAAGTCGAAGATCTTTTACAAATTTACAGTCTTATTCGATAATAAAAACCGATGGTATTTATTCTTTTGGTTCATTACTTCTCCCTACTAAAAGTTACCAGCGTTTTTCTTCCACATCACCTTATTCTCCCTTTTCTTTATTATCGAATAAACATGTTATCCATTCAGCTCAAAGGAAAATATCAAATGTTAGTCATAAATTACAAGAATTCTTTAAATATATAAAATTGAATAAATATATTGAAAAAGAAATAATAAAATATGAAATAGAACTTAAAAAATTTTCATCATTTTCGTCGTCATATTTTATTACTCAACAACAACAACAACAACAACAAAAAGATGATAAAGAGGATCAACTCGGAGAATTATGTTATTTAGTTCTTTCCACTTTACAACGTATGATGAAATCATCTCCTAAACCTAGTGAAGGTTTAAGAATTGGAGTTCAGGATTTAATAAAAATAAGTAAAAATCGGATAATTAAAGAAAATATTTCTCTAGATCCAGAGAATAACAACGATGATAAACAATTTAAACTTTGGGAATTATTATTTCATATGACAATTACTATGCTTGAAATCATTGAATATATTTGGATTGATTAAATTTTATTAATATATATAATAATTCTTGGCAAATAATTATTTTATAAATAATTTTATTTTTTAAATATTTTTAATGGGGATTTCTTTTTTCAATTTTTATCACATGTATTTAATGTTGTTCTTTGATAGATGTTGTGTAATAAACAAACAAAAAAAAATGTTAGATTTTTAAAGTTAAACAAAGTTATGTATAGTATATTTAAAGTTAAATTAAAAGTAAGAAAACATTTTTATGAATGATAATAACACAACATTATTATTTTTTAAAGTGGCCCACCTTACCGACAATGTTTATGGTAGCTCGGGTCCACGTTCGCACTCCAATGTGTTGTCACACATATTGTTATTCGATTCTGATAGAACGAATAGAACAAAACAAAATGTCATTGTATAATTACGTGTGACATATCATCTGATAATTTAATTTGTGGGACTGCATTATATCAATGAAATGTTTTGCGCACTTTGTTTTTCAATGATCGAAAAAAATAAGACACTTTCATACCATAGTCGTTCAAAGATTTAAAGCCTTGTACACGGGGTGCATAAATGTATATAGATATACATAAACATATATAAACAATAAACGGATAAGATAATATATTGAAAATTTTTAAATTATCTAAGCCAGTCAAGTCAGAACTTAGCCTACAATCTATGGATAAATATTAATATATGTGATATAGTGTGATATAATGTGATATAATGTGATGTAATCAAATTACATCTCGAAATAATACTTGAAAAATGAGGCTTTTATTTAAACCGATTGTGGCGCAATATTAGATTCTTCTTTTTTTATCATTATTTCTTTATAGGATTACCAAATTTTAGAATGGCTTAATTTCTTTCGAGGTCTTCGAGATCTTAGAAAGATAAATACAAAAAAATGGAGTAAAGAAAAAAGGGAGGCGTAAAACGTACAACTTGATACATATTAATATTCCTTTCTTTTGTATAGTAAAAAGTTTAATTAGTAAAAGTTTAGTAAATTTTATGGCTGGAGATTTTTACGTAACACTTTGCACTATTAGAATGCAGAAGCAACTGGCAACAACATTTGAGCACTTGCAGAAAATAAAAATGAAAGAAAAAAATAAAAAAATCAGCATCAGGTTATTAATATTTTTATGGAAGTGAAATATTTTTATTTTAAAGAAAAAAGAAAATAAAAAAAAAAAAATATATAAATACAAAGAAATTATCTCTTAATATTATTACTATCTGTCAATATTACTAATATTACTATTTGTTATTATTGTTATAATTTGTCAATATTATTTGTCAATTTGTTATTTGTTATTGAATATTAGATATTCTTGACTACCTTTTTAGCATTAACGTTTTGCCTTCTCAACATATATTCAACAGCAACTCCCGCAATATAAATAATTATATTAAGAATTGCCAAAATAACAAATAATGTATAATTCTTAAAGAATCCATCAGAATCATTTGAACCACTATCACTTGGAGTTGTAACATTAGAAGTTCCCGAACTTAAATCAAGGGTGACATCATCTAATTGATACCAATCTGCTGCAGAACTTACAACTACAAGACTTTTAATAGTAACGCTTTTAGTAGTATCATCGTGGGGTTTCCAAGTAAATGTTAATGGTAATGATTTATCATTATTATTTGTATGAGTTAAAGTATTAATACCATCACCATTACAAGATTTAGATTGGAAATTATCAGGAATTGTAAATTCTCCCGTTCTAGTACTAGTACTTCCATCTAAAGTATAGAGTAATAATCCTTTAATTGCTTTTGGACCAGCAAGAGTAAATGTAAATGATGTGCCTGACTTGGAGGTGGTAATCGTATATTGTCCTGTCCCACTTGTTAAAGCTGGAGGATGTCCCTGGGTAATTTCATTTACATTACAAGTAGCAGCTCCTTCCGGTTTAGATGATACGAAAAGAAGAAATGGTGATGATGATATTGTTATGAGTAAAATAAGAAAATAGATGAAATTTTTCTTTCCCATTTTCGTGTGTTTTTTTTTTCTATTTCTCTAATTTTTTCTTTTAAAAAATTATTATCAATTTTTGAATTATTATTTAAAGTATTTAATGAATTTAATAATAATAATTTTTGAATAATAATGAATTTCTAAATATTGGTTATTTTTTTTTGTCCCGTTATTTATAAATTGTACTATTTTTATTATTGTTGTGAAAAGAAGTATTATCTATTATTAAAAAAATGCCAAGCAATCGAATAGAAAGAAAATGAAAAAGAAAAATAAGAAAAGAAGAATAAAAATTAGAAATGCCAAGAAAGAATGATTTTTTTTAAATATTTATTACCTTACACATATATATAGTTTTTTTTTTTATAACTTTATAGCTAAGCCCAATTTAGGAATATACAGTATAATTTTTTTGATATTTGAAATTATGTATATAACGTAATTGGGTGATTCAAATATTAATATTAATAATTTATTCTGGTTTCAAAAACAAGACAATAATATAATATATTATATTATCAATACGTATATGATTTTATATGTGACACAATAAAGTATGCTTGAAGTCTAACAGAAAATTCTCAAATTCTCATTGAAATTTCTTTCAATAAGGATATCTAATTTCAAATGGTAATTCTTTAAATAATGAAATCCTATATCATATTATCTATATATGAGTTTATAATAAAGTATGTTGAAATCGAATGAATGATTATAGAAGTTAACAGAAAATTCTCTTTAGAATTCTTTAATGATAACTTGTTATTTAATAATTGATAAAATGAAAAAGGAAAAACGATATTCGCTCCAAAAACAAAACAAAACAACTAAGCATCGCCACGTACAATGAATAAAAGTAAATAATATGTACACGGTTCTGTAATAATAATAACACTAAAAGTAAATGGTAATAAATTTGAAGGGTGAGTTTTGTTTGTGCATAGCTTTGTGTAGTTCCTTTTTGCATATTAACCCCCCTAATCAAAAAATAGTTATTACTTTCTTCATTTATTTCAATTTCCCAATTTCTATTTTTATTTTCTATTTGGTGTCTTAATTAACTAAATATGAAAACATGGACTAAACTGTAAATAATTCTTTATTGATGTAATTAAAGTAATCAAAATAAAAGCCTCCGTTTGATTATATCTATTGTTCAATGTGTATTTGTTAAACATTTGATTATTTAAGATGATCTGTTTATAATAAAAAATCCCTCATCACTTCTGGTTTCTATCACTCACGAAATAATCACTCATTTTTAATAATATATATATAGTAAAAAATATATATAATAAAAAATTGTTATAAAGGGCTAAGAATCCCCCATATTTGACAAAACATTAAATTTATAAGTCGGCCAATAAACGATAAATTATTACTCGAAATCGACTCGATAACGATAATTATTTTATTATTAAACAATTATCAGATTGACGAAGGTGTGTACTTTAATCTTGTTCTCTTTGTTATTGTCTTTTCTATTGTCTTTTTTTTTTCTTCCCTTTATCATTATTTATCATTATTTACCGTTATTTTTCTTCTCTTCCTAACTCTTCTTATCTCTATTATTATCTTTATTCTTTTATTTTGTTTCTTTGTTCTGATACTTTTCTAACAAATAATAATTCGAAACGATACGATAATTTCAAATGTTTCTTCCCCTTTATTGCCAACACTTACTATTTTTGTATTCGTCTATCCCGGTGTTTTTTTGTCTCGATTTATTGTTCGAAATTCGATTTTTTTGACACTAATCCGTTTTGGTGGGTCATTCTCACGTTTCATAATTTTTATAAATAATTTAAAAAAATTTAATTACTTTTTTAAAATTATTATTTTTCTAATTGTTTAAAGTAAGTATTTTTTGTTTATCTAAAATAATTGGTGAACAGATTATTAATTTTATTTATTTCTTTGGTTCTAACGTCTTTCCTTATTTTTCTATTCATTTTTATAGACATAATTATTATAATTGTTTCTTTATTATTTTTTCAATTTATTTTTATTTTTTTCATTTTTATATTTTATATTTTATATTTTCAACGAGCTGGTCTCTTTTCCTTTTTTTTCCGTTTTTTCCTTTTTTCCCCTTTTTTTCCCTTTTTTCCCTTCCCCTTTTCTTATTTTAATTATTTTAATATCTTATTTAATTTAAATTATCTTCTAGCTGTGTTATTATAAATTAAGAAATAACGATAGCTTTGAAAACGATAACAAATATTAACGAGAAGAAATAGAAAGAGAGAAAAATATTAGAAACAACAAACGAGATATAGAAAAAATTAGTAGAAATGGCATTAAAATCAGATTTATCGGCTGGATACTATTACGTTTGTACAGCTTTAATCGTACTTCTCGTAGGATCAATAATATACTTAATTCATCAAATTACGACTTACATCAATCGCACCAAAAAAAAAGATGTACCTATTTTACATTCAAATGAAAATAATTTCACTTCTCCAAGAAGAAGTATTCATTTAAGTCCAACAGTTTGGTTTTATAAATGTTGGAATCAAGTTATTCATATCCTTGGGGTTGGTGAAATGTCCATTGGAGCTATTGTCATTTTATTAATATATTTGACAGTTAATATTATTTTCTTGGCTTTACCTTTTAAAACTGATGAAGGAATATCTCACCAGACAAGTATTAGATTTGCATATTTAGGAATAGCCAATGCTGCTTTTATATTTCCTTTAGCCACTAGAAATTCTATTTTTACTAAGCTTATTGGAATTCCTTTTGAACGTATGATTACTTATCATCGCTGGGTGGGAAGAACTATTTTTTGGTTACTTACTTTTCATGCTTCCACTCAAATTCAATCAAATTATAATTCTTCAAAATCGATATCACATTCTCTGTGGGGTACCGACATATATAAATGGGGATTTTTGGCTTATATATTTTTATCTATTACTGTAACGATGGCTAATTCAGTATTTCGAAGATTCGCTTTTGAATGGTTTTATTGGTCTCATTTCAATTTTTTATTTTTCATTATTTTTGGTTGCCTGCATCAAAAAATGTTCTTTTATTTCACCATTACGGGAATTCTTCTTTATGGTATTGATAAAATTTTAAGAATAATCACAGGTAGTTTTAGAACAGTTGATATTAATTCGGTGGAGGCAATTTCATCAGGAGTTACAAGGATAATTTTTAAATTTCCTACCTATTATGAAGCGGGGCAATATATATTTGTTAATTTTCCTTTTTTAAAAATTCCAACTTCTTTAATTGATTGGCATCCATTTTCTTTATCATCACCTCCATTATCATCTTTTGGTAGCATCGCTAATAGTGGTGAAGTAAATTCGCCCACAGTTGATGATACAGGTGATGAAGGTTATGCAAGTATTCATGTAAAAATGCAAGGAGGATATACGAATACTTTATACGCAAAATCACAACAAGGAAGTCAATTAACGGAAACTCCTTTAAAAATGAGAATTGAAGGTCCTTATGGAAAAAAAAGTGTAGATTTTTCATCTTATAAAACGGTTCTATTAATATCGGGAGGAATAGGAATCACTCCGATTATATGTATATTGGGTGATTTAATAGATAGTCAGATTAAAAATAATTATATAGTTACGCAAGCAATTCATTTCGTGTGGGTAATACCTAATATTGGTAAATATTTAATTATTTATTATTTTTATAAATTATTATTATTATTAATTATCAAATTAAATTTATTATTATTATTATTATTATTATTATTATTATTTCAGGTCCATATTCCTGGTTTGAAAAAGAATTAGAAAAAATACGAAAATCTGCCTTAACCTTATTGCCACCCGAAAAATATTTGCTTGAAATTCAAGTGTATCTTACTCGATCTACGACCACTCCTTCCTCAACGTTCTTTCAAGGTCGACCTGACATTAAAAAAATAATGAAAGCTTTAAAACAAAAACATGGATCAGGTGACATAGCAGTAGGTGTTTGTGGTCCTGCTCCGTTGATAAAAGAAGCAAGAAACGCGGCAGGTTCAGAAAGTGATGTAACTTGTTTGTTTAAAACACATACTGAAACATTTGAATTATAATACTTGAAAATAATTAAAATAATTACTATACTTCTGTATATGGATAAATACGTATTTATGCATTTCTTTTTTTGGTAATCACATTTAATTCGTTCGATTTCATTTGATTCATTTAATTTATTATTGTTATTATTAATCAAGAAAGATATTTTTTTTATTTTTTTTTTTATTATTTTTTTTTGGGGTTTTTTTTTATTTATCTATATATGTATACTGTAAGTAAAATTTACATATAATAATATGTTAAAGAAAATTAATTGAAAATTAAATAAATTAAATTATGGGAAATCAATAAATGTACACTGTTATTAAATATAAATATAACTCACGTATTAATTTGTAATTTAAACGACAGTGCCTGGGCTTGCGACACAGTGTCTCTGAATAATTCTCTGAGTCGATCTTTATTCTGCTAGTCGAGAGAAGGAAAAGAAAAACGAAAATTATGAAGCTAATGATAATCAGCGTACTGCTGCTCTTGATGTTTTTCATAGGCATGTCCACGAGAATTTGATACGCAGTTCCAGATATTAAGTTGTAACAGAGATCATGTAGTATCTATTAAAAACCTTAATGTTAACGAGAAAAAGAAATATAGTTCAGAGAATAGAGATGTCAATATTTGATTACTTAAAATTTATTTACAATTTCATTAAATCTTTATTTATTGATCCTATTTTTATTTTAATAAATTTCTAAGTAAGTTAGTAAAATTATTGTTTATAACTTTCTCAACTTTTAGAGCCGTTTTTTTTTGTTTAACAATGAACGACTTTGATTCTGACAAAGAATATATTCTATTAAAACATGGGCACAATGTTTCTCGCAATAGCTCCTCAAGGTCTTGTTTCTGATGTTAGCAACATAGGCAATAATGGGTTTCAAGAGAACTTGGAAGGTATAGAATCAGAAAATTTATTGTTATTAAGCCAATTTTTACAATTATTAAAGCATTACAAAACTTGGAAAATAATAAAATGGAAACAGTTCAAGAATTCCGTAAGGCACAGACAAATGATCGAAATTTTTGTGAATCCATCCCGGGACTTTATCGCGTGTTGGATTTATGTAAAGATGATCTTTGGTATGTAAATTGTACGCTCCATAATAATTTTGTACAGAAAATGATATGATTTCAAAAATTAATTATGAAAAATTATATTTTTTGATCTATTATAATTATTATTAATGCTATAAATTATTCTTAATGCTCTATGGCGTCGATAATAACTCTGGAACTCGACCAACAGCAGAGTTAAGACCAGGAATATGTCTCTTAAGGTTACCTTCGGATGAATTTGAAGAAAAGAATAAATTAATGGTTTTTAATTGGAGTGAATATGGATGTTATGAAGATAAAGCCTTATCTTATTGTAAAAAGAATATGACTAATTTGCAAAGGTAAGTCTTTTATATTTTGAATATGTATAAATATCTTATGAACACCAAATTTGTTTAATTGATTGGGAACGTGAAGATGAAATTGATGATGATTATGATTTTGTTGATTTTGAAGTGACAAAGAGCGAAGAACAAAAAGAGAACTTTGAAATTTTTACAGGATTTGAGGTTGTTTATGGATCCTATAAGTTTATGAGAAATAAATGTAATAATTTTAATAATTTATTAGCTGAATATTTATGTATTTTAAAAATTCTTAAATATTTTGCTTTTTGAACGAAACTAATTTTATATTTATTATTTTTGAATTTAGATGACTTATTGATTTCTTTTGCCTTATTCCTATCCAAATTGCAATCGCTCAAAATAACAATTTAATACCTCTTCAGATGGATTAATTTTTAAGGGAAAAGATGAATCAATTTTTGACAATAATTATGGATTAATCGAAAGTTTCTAAAGCATATCTTTTGGATGGTATGAGTCTATTTTTGATTATTATTCTAATCTCGAGTTAAAGGTTATATCATCTATGGGCGAACAATCTTTTGGTAAGATTTATTTAACACATTTGATTTATTCTTTGATTTATTATTGTATAATAAGAGATGTCATTAGGTATTTCTACATTTTGTCAATTTTTAAAGAACTTAATTTGTAATAATAATTGGCTTGAATTTTATTATTGTAAAAACTCGCAAAATTTTTATATATTCTTATCAATCATGCTTATATAATATAATATCTAACAAGCATAGTAAGATCAGCACAAGAAGAAATGCAGCCTGTATTATTCAAATCTCAGTTTTTAATTAGTAGAACTATTACATCAATGTTCAAGATGGTGCTAATTATTTTGAAGATTCAGATACATTTCAGGCATATTATTTTATTTTATTAAAATATCATAATAATAATGTAATAACATTACTAATAATCAAGTTAATTTATGGGCAAGGTTTTGCATTGTTAGGATGTGCAAAACCAGATAAGGATGGTATTGTAGAAGAATTTTATATTAAATTTTCAAAAATTGCGGATATATGATTGGAAATACATTTTCTTGGGACAATTATATTATATTAAATATTAACAAAACTTGTTATTTGATAATTTTTAAAAAATATATTTAATAATTACTTTATATGCTCCAAGTTTTACACAACTTTAAAACAATTCAAGATAAAATTATATAAACAAGAAACGTGATATAAAAATGCTAGATTGTTTGTCGAAAAAATAGAAGTATTAATAAATTTCAAGTTTCTTAATAAAATATTTTTTATTATTAATGATAATGATTATTTTAATTATTTAGGTTAAAATAACTAAATCAAAGTAAGTTTATGTATAAAAATATTTTTAAAGATATTTAAATATTAATTTTTTGCTATATGTGTATAGAGTTTGTGGTTGGGAAGCATCCATGCCACTTTACTCATTTACTCATTATACGAGCAGATGAATTGAAAAAATTTATGAATAATGCTATTTCTTTTGGATTTGAGCAAAAGGAGGAAGACCTATTTTATGAAGCGAATAAACTTAATAATGAACAAGAACAGAAAATTAAAAGCTAACTGTAAGTTATTTGTTTTTACACTTTTTATTAATTTTTATTTGATCATTTTTTAATTATTTAAATGATTTAAATGTGATTATGGACTTATAATTACTGATGATGAAATTTTGGTACCAGATATTGGTTTGGAACTATTATATTAAGCGATCAAAAAAAAAACTGTGCAAATTTCATCAGGTATAATTTTTATGATTTATTAAATTTTATTATAATTATTATAATTAATACAATTTGTTCTCTTTATCAGATATTATCAAATTTTTGAAATTAATATTTATTTTCGAGATAAATATAATTTGAAATGTCTCAAATCAAGTTGTCATTCTGATAATTGAGATGTTGTTTAACAAATCATCATTGTCATGAACCTTGTAATTTAAACGAACACAAATTGAAGAAGTTTTACCTGAATGTAATAATTATGTTAAAAGCATCGTCGTTCTCAAAAAGGTAATTTTTTTAAAAAAAAAGTTAAACTTTAAAAATTTTTTATAGAATTTTCATATTGTCCTAGACCATACACGTGGGGCTTCATGCAATTATCATGGCAAAAGAAATTGTCAAGGCATCTGTACT